GTAAGACCCTGGTGTGTACCTTGAGAATGTGGGGACACAGTGGAAGTGGATATTACTGGGTGTTCTGTGCTTCTGGAATTAAGAGAAATTTAACCAGAGTCTTGGAAGTCCATAGAACCTATTGGCCAGAAGAACCTGCAGGAGAAACTTGGAGAGTTCCTATGGTTCCTAGGGAACTCTAGGACATAGGTCAGGACAAGGATTCCTCCTTCTTAAATGAGAATCTGTATGTTGCATACCTCAATTTCTGGCTGCTGATGGAATGTTGACATTAAAGTCTTGTCCCATCAAGATCCTTTTTAATGTCACTGTGATTGTGAAGTAGTTTCTCATCTTTTTAATTAAAATTTGTAGACTAGATTTTTACTTACTGAGAAAATTTGCACCAGAAAATTAATATGGTCAGATTATAGTCACTCTGTGGCTACATCCACCCTCAAGACACTGAAGAGCAGAAAGTAATATTTATTTAGGAATGACCTTAAGAGTGTCCATAGCCTCTGATGCATCTTCGTTTTTAAGGATACATGTAAAAGAATGAAAGCCTTTCTCCTCATACACTGTGAAATTTAACAGGTTAACAAATTTCTGCCTCCTCTGTAATTGGAAGTGATAGAATTGGCAGAGTATTTATGGTTGCTAATGCTGACCATGCCTCCCGGACGCCCTAGGTGAGCAAGATCACCTTGATTGGAACAGTAGGTTCATCTGAGGCAGATTTTTAAGCCCTTGCCAACATAGGGTTTGCAGATCATACAATTTTACACACTAAAGATGAATAGGAGTTGTATCTATCTTTTTAGTAGCTTCTTTTGTTTCATAGTATATGTATTCACCTACCTTGTTAAAAGCATTGAGTAAACGGAATTTTTATATATATTATCATTGTCACATGAGGCTTTTTCCTCCCTTATAATACAGAATTTATATCTTTAAACATTCACCTCTAGCACTTCCCCATAACTGGGAAGTATATCTGGATGCTCTTCACTCAACCCACAAAAGGTAAAACAAAACACAACTCAGAATTTGAATGTGATTTGAATTAACCAGTGATGAAAAAGTCTCTGGGACTTTATCTAAAATGACTTTGTTTTTAAACAGTCTACATGATAAATCCATTCACTAAGCAAAGAAAGCATACAGAAATACAAAGATAAGAAAGTAATGGAAAAATGAAACTGTGTCACCTGGGACTCTGAAGTTGGATGAGTCAATTAAATCAAGAAGAAAAAGGATCCAATGAGTCAGACATGAGCCGTGTCACTTCTCAGTGATACACACCGCCCTCTGCCCGACTTTCCTAAACTGGTCTGTTGAGTTTTTAGGAAAAAGTGGGAAAAAGGAAAACATCTCATTTTGAATTAGAGAAAAACCTGAAAAGTTACAATTTTTTTGGCAGCTATTCAATTAAGAGTCAGCTACAGACCAGAAGAATCCTCTGATCGAGCAACACCAATGTTTTTCAATAGATGACTTTAGTAATTCCTCCCTCCCTAGCTTCTCCTCTTCATGAAATCAGACACGAGTCATTGCTCTTTAAAGTATCTCTGAAGGTATTGTATTATGTCCCTTTCCCCCAGAGCTGCCCCTTTATGTGCTTTTTGCTCAGGCAACCAAGGACATAGAGTATTGGCATAAATATGGAGTGCTTTTGTATAGGCCATCTGTACATAAAAGGGTAATTATTTATTTAATTTTCCCATTTGTATCATATTAAAGCTTTGTACAGTGTTTTAAGTTCTGTTTTAAAATTATTTTGTATTTTATTTTTATAACCTAGTAATAAAAGATACATGCCGCATGCAAACTCTGGTTCTATTTGGTTTGGATTTTAAACATAGGAAATATTCTTTTTCTAAGTAAAAAAAAAAAAGTTATTTAAATGTTCCAGAAAGTGAAAAATCAACAGCAGAAAATATTACAATAAATGCAGTAATACATACAGAAATGACCTAGAAAAGGCAGTGTATAGAAACTAGGTGTTCAGAGTCCGTACAGATAAAAACCAGAATTTATTGAGGTGAAATAATGGCTCCCCATGTGATAAAATTAAACACAAACAAACCAAGTATGGTTAAATTTGTTCTGACTAGCTACCTGCCATCAATTTCCGAGATCTGTTAGCAGGACCACACACACAGTATGGCATGAGAGCCCGTGGTAATAAAAGTGGAAACTGCTCAAACATTTCCATTCAGCCCATCATTCTATCAATGTGTGAAGACATTTTTCCCTTCTCCACAGGATACCTTTGTACCACTAGAGTGATTCTTGATCCTACCACTTTAGTCCTGGAACCTCATTTTAAGAGCTCTTCCTGGAATAGTAGTGTCATCTGTTTTTGAGTCTGTCTTGGTTTCTCACTGAGCAGCAACAACCACAGCGTTATCTCCCATCTTTTTGCAAAATGACACTCCCAGAAGCTAATCATCAAAGTGCCAGTGACTGTTAAAGGATAGACGCAATGTGCAGGTCTGCTGGAGGTTATAAAACACCTCCCTGCATACATCATTTTAAACAGCTAATCAGTTGATGATTTATGCAAGGAAACCTGTGGGTACCCCTCGGACCTCAAGACTAAAATCCCAGCCATTGAGAAAGACAGGTCAAATAGGCTAATTTGGTGGCTCCTTTAAGTGATAAAACTCAAATGGGAAGCGCTAGTGGCCTAGTGAGTAAAGAGTTGTGCTGCCAACTCAATGGCAGGTAGTTCATACCCACCACATGCAACCGTGGAAGAAAGGTGGATAGTCTCCTCCCATGTGATTTGTTATGTACCATCAAGTCAACTATGACTCATAGTGACCTTGTGAACAATGGATCTGAACCCTGCAGTATCCTATGCCATACTCATCACCTCTGAAATACTTAAGACCATTGTTACAGTCACTGTGTCAGTCCCATGTTCTTGGGGCTCTTCCTCTCTTACCTTGATCCTCCACCTTTCCAAGCATGAGGTCTCTTTCCAAGGACTAGCCAGCCCCTCCTAGCAACATGCCCAGAGTATGTGCAACAAAGCTTTGCCGTCTTTTTCTCCATGGAGCACTCTCATTTGCACTTCTCCAAGACATACTTGTTCGTTCTTTTGACAGTCCATGGAATATTCAGTACTCTTCTCTAACACTCCAACTCAAAGGCATCCTTGAGAGAAGATTTTCCCAGTGCAACATGTGTTTTGAGTTCTTGATTGTTGGTACAAGTAGTGTTTGTGCATTTAAGAAAGATAAAATTGTTGACAAATCAGTCTTTTCTCCATCTGTCATGGTATTGCCTATTATTATCTCAATGGAGAGGATTTTTGTTTTCTTTGTGTTGAGATGGATATAACCCATATTGAAAGCTGTAGTCTTTGATCTTCTGCAGCAGGTGTTTTAAATGCTTTCAACAAGCGAGGTTGTTCTCTACATGGTTGTTGATGAGTCTTCCTCCAAGCCTGAGGCCACATTCTTCATAGGACCCAAATTCTCAAATGATGTTTCAGCATACACATTGAATAGGTATGGAGAAAGGATACAACCCTGATGAACAGCTTCTTGGTCTAGGTCTCTCATTGGCAAAATTAAGTGTTCTGGGATACCGATTCTTGCCCATGTTAGCCATAATTTGTTGTGATTCACACAGGTGAATGCTTCTGCATAGTCAAAAACACAGACATCCTTCTGGTATTCTCTGCTTTCAGCTGAACAATCTGACAACAGCAATATCATCATTGATGACACAGCGTCTTCAATTAAGCTTGGCTGTTTTTTTAATAGTATTCAGCAATATTTTGTTTACATGTCGTATTAATGGTATTGTTTTATCATTTCCACATGCATCACCTTTTTTGGGAACAAATATGAATCTCTTCCAGTGAGTTGACCAAGTATCTGTCTCCAAGATTTGTAGGCACAGCCTTGTGAGCACATCCTGGGGTGCATCTTGTTATTGGAATATGTTACTATTCTGTCATTCTAGGGACCTTATATTTTAAGTTTTTTTTTTTTTTTTACCAGTTCCTTCAGTATGGCTTGAATTTCCTTTATTACTACTGGTTCTTAATCATATGCTACTTCCTGGAATGGTTCCATGTCAGTCCATTCTTTTGGGTATAGTGATACTGTGTAGTCCTTCCATCTTCCTTTGATGCTCCCTGGATCATTCAGGACTTTGCCCATAGCATCCTTCAGTATTGTAACTGGAGGCCTGAGTTTTTCCTGCTTGAGAAGCACGTTCTTTCCTTTTGATTTTCTAACTCCAGATCTAGTACAGTACCTAGTACATTTGGTCTGACTCGCTGGAAGGTCTGTTTTACGTTGGCTCAGAGCTCTGTAACCTAGTGGTAAGGAGTTTCGCTGGCAATCAGTGGTTGGAAACTAGGGACAAAGATGGGTAGCCTCATCCTGGAGATTTACAGCCTTTGAAAACACACTCAGGATCGCTTACTAATTGACAGTACCTAACAACAAAATTCAAATTTAACATCTGCTTATAGCAGAAGATGTAAGCTGCTGTCTGATACAATTGTTCACTTTTATTGTCTGGTCTTTGAGACCCTCTGCCTGCCCCGTCACCTTAGTGTTACTATGGCCCCACAAAGTGCCATGACTGTGTGGAATCCAGGGACGCTGTCCAGAATGGAGCGTCTTCAAGTAGCAGGCCACTGGGCCCCCGTCTCCGCCCCAGGGCCTCGCTCCAGAGGCCCCGCCTCTGCGCTCCAGGGCCCTTCCCAGGTGCCCCCGCCTCTCCCCAGGGCCCCTCCCAGGTGCCCCCGCCTC